CGGGCGAGAGAAGCCTGCTGCAAACGAACTTTGGGGATTTAGAGGTTTAGGGTTGAGGGAGTACTGTTTGGGGTTTCGGATGGAGGAACTGGGCCAGGTCATGCAGTACCTCTGAGGCTACAGCGCTTTCCTCCACGCGCCGCAGTTGTGAAAATCGAGGTGCCCGCGGTGCCCGCGGGACGATGGGGATTACCAAGCAGCGGAACGTGAGCAGTTCTGCCTCATGGTTGTGGGTCAATCTAGGAGAATGTTCTGCGGTTGCTGCAGCAGGCCCATGTACAGAAGCGGCTTCGACTTCGGACGAGGTCAGGCTTTGCACGGTATCTGGGAAGCAGGGGCAGCCACATGCCGCGCAGCTTCCGAACCCTAATCTTCCGACAACGACACAGACTCAATATGAGTGCTCGCGAACCAGCCAACGTGGTTTGACTCGAGGTGACTGCGTAGAGTCATTCAGATGCAGCCCACTGCAAGCTGACGCAGAAAACAGCTCCACTTGGGCACGTCCAACAAACATCAGCCTGCTCCCCCTTTGATGAGCTCTGTGGTAATCGAGTTATGCACAACATGTACTCCTGTGGTTCTAGTGCTAAATCTATCTGCAATGGTGCCTGGCGAGTCAGCGCTTTTTCGGGCGCGCTGCCCGCAGCGCTGCACTTTGAGGCGGAGTAAGGGCCTTTTGCTGGCGAGGCCAGCCGTTGCCTCTGTGTTCCTAGCCTCTGCTTTGTTCCTTGAGGGCTGTGGTGAGCCACAAACGTGCTACCCTGATGGCACAGCCGAGAGGGCATGGTACAGTTGTCACAGCAATGTAATTTGTTCGAACCTGGACGCGGTCAACCTCGGGCCGATGTCGCTTGCAGACTGCATGACGCAGTGCGAAACCAGAGCCTGTTCTGTCATCCAGTATGATTGCAGCACGGATTGTTTTCTGCTGGACAGCTGTGGACCGATGGTGACTTCTGAGTGTCAAGGCAGTATCTATTTCCGTGATCAGACCCATTCGGGAGTGGCCACAACCACTGAAGCAACAACTCAATCAACAACTCAGGCTGGAGAATGCGTGGCTGTTCCCGCATTGCATCAGTATGTGTGCAGCCCGCGGAAGTACTGTACGAATCAAGGCGCTGCAACCTTACTGGGTGAGATTCCGCTTGAGGACTGTCTGAGCCGGTGTGATAGCAGTGCTGCCTGCACTTCCGTGCAATGGGATTGCGGAGTTTCCTGCTGGCTGATGGAAGCCGAGCCTTGTGGAGATGAGCTCGATACAGTATGCGGGAGTAGCCTGTACCACAAGATAAATAACCCCTTAACACCTACTGCAAGGACCACAAATACAACCACCAATACAACCACAACCACAACGACAACCACTTCAGCGAGATTCATCCTCCACACACAGGGCTTGACCAACTGCCCCTCAAACGCAGCGCCGGTTCTCAACGAATCCGGCTGCCAAGAAGCCGCAACAGCTCTCGGTTACGTTCTCGCGAACACGGAGGACACGAGCCTGTGGCCGAACGGTTGCTACAAATGGATCCGCCAACCGGAGCTTTACTTCAACTACAACGCGGGAAGTGGCAACGGGGAGGCGCAGGTCGTTTGTCAGACAATCTTTTCGACTACAACAACCACGAGCACACGCGCAACTACCCCGACTACGACAGTCTCCGTGCAGCCTGGCAGCTGCATCGTCACCTCCGCGGAGTACGTTTGCACGCCAAGGAAGTTTTGCGAACTGCAAAGCGAGGCACAGCAGTTGGGACCAATGAGCTTGGAAAGCTGTAAGGTCGCGTGTTCCCAGACTGATGACTGCAACGCGATCCAGTACGATTGCAACACCGACTGCTGGCTACTGAGAGCATGTGGCGGTTTTGTGGACACCGTCTGCGGCAGTAGCGTTTACATCCGAGATCGGAACTGGCTGTGGGGCACAACCACAACAACAACAGTGTTTGGGCAATGTTATCCTTCCACTACACCGGATGCGATGCCATATATAGACCATCAGTGGACCTGCACGCCCGCCGTCTACTGTACAGAGCAGGCGTCAGCAACAAGGTACGGAGCCATGTCTCTTGATCGTTGCATGGCGCTGTGCCGCGCGGTCGGATGCAGTTTTGTCCAGTTCGACTGCAACTCCGAGTGTTGGCTCATGGATGTTTGCGGAACATTCGAAACGAGCACATGTGGCAGCAGCGTTTACCAGAAATCCGGCACAACACTGCCCTACTTTACAATCAGTGACGTCGGGCCGTACCGCAGTGACCGTTTCAATGCTTCCTTGTACGTCACCTACAGCAGCGCATGCTCCGGGGATGACTGCACCGTCGTGGCCGCGTGCCCTATATCACCATCGAGCAACCTCCAGACCACAGTCCTGAAGTGCCAGACTATCCCACCAGATTCGGGTGACGGAATCTCGGTAAATGAGTTGAACTGCACAGCAAAGGGAGGTGGCGAGTTACCGGCGATCATGGCCGAAGCGATTTGCGTGGAACCCGACTCCTTGAGCTCGCTTGTTACGACCTCTGGGTATGGTGAAGGCGATCTTCGCGCGACATGCCCCGATGGCTACTATGCCTTTTCCTGCAACTGTTTTACATCCTGGCTCGTGAGTTTAACTTGTGCCGGCTATGCATCCTTCGCTCCCAGAATGAACCCCCCGGTCTGGGGCAATCCATGGACTTGGACGGGGACGAGTGTTTCTGATGCCATGGCAGAGCTTGTCTCCGTCGGCTTAGAGCCGCAGCTTGTCCATTCCGCACAGCCTTACTGGGGTAAGGCGGAGTGCCAACTCTACAGTCCCCCGGAAGCCGTCTCCCCCCGAAGGCGGAGTGTAGGCAGAGTGCAAGCGCAGGTGAGCGCCCTTTGTGTTCGCGGCGTCGAACCCACAATCAGGCTCAGCTACCGAGGAGAAGGCGATCTGTGGCCTCTTCCAAACTCGACTGGGAGGGAGACGCAGTACTGTGGCTGGGCCACCAACACCAAAGTGGCTATTCTTCGGAAAGAGTGCAATCCGTGGATGCAGTTTCCCAGCGAGAATGGCGGGTGCTATGCTTCGGAGTGCATCGATCTGGCATCTTGCGTCCGCATCTGCAACTCTTGTGGCTTCTGCAAAGGAGTCTTCTACCGTTTCGATCAAGATTCTTCTTCAGGGTTGGAACGATGCTACTTCACAGGGGACTTCGAAGTCGAGAATGGGACGAGCGACGAATGGAACCACGGCTGGGGACAGTCTCCCCAGCAGAGCAATCATTCAAAGCATTTGCCCCAGTCAGGATCAACAAGTGCTGCATGGGCCCTGTACATCAACACCAGGGATGCCCGATGTCGGACAGACAACTATGCCATCTACGGGATCACCTTCTTTGAGGATCCACACTGCACCAAAGTCATGGCTCCGAGCTCGATGAACGTGTCTGGTGGTGGTCAGACAGAACTCCCAGTCGACCTCGGCGACTGGAGGAAGCGGCTCCAGCACATAAGCTTCGATGAATGCTATGAGGAGATGCAGGCTGGGAGGAAATGTGATGTGGAGTTTACTGCTGCGTTTCCACCAAATAACTCGGCGCCCCTTTGCGCCATAGTTCACAGCAGCTGGCTTTTCGGCCAGGGCTACAGCTCAGACTCTGGTGAATCTCGGGGATGGTATCTGGCGGCCTATGATCAGCAGCTGGGTCGTGCGCGCCATGGGACCGTGGCTTTCGATGTGGATGGCACCCACATTCGCATGCCGGCCATGCCATGGTTTCGCCAGAACGTCTCGGAGCCGGGAGAGACGATCGTGCTGTCATCCCGGATGGAATTCGCCTGCTGGACCACCTCCAACCCTTGTCCCGGGGAAGACATGTTTCCGCCGATCGAGCAGCACATTCGGGAGGCTCTCGCTTCCATGCTGGCGCTGCCACAGCACCTGATAAGCTTGCGGGGAGGGGAGTCCCAACAGTCGGCAAGTACACTCACATACGAATACAACCTGACGATCCATCTGGCAGTGGAAGATCCTGTTCAAGCTTCCCTACTTCCAAGTCTGGTTGCTACCCTCGAGGACATGCGCAGGAACTTCTACCCCCTGTCGGATCTGTTCAAGACCCGCCTAAGGCACAATGGTGTGCGCTTGTTTGACACCGCGCAGATTAAGCAGGACACGGTGGTATTTCGGATTCCTCCGGTGACGTTGACTGCCTTTCCCACCACGCCGTCACCGTCGCCGTCACCATCGCCTACACCAGCGCCGTCGCCGCCCGAAGTACCTGTAGAGTCTGAGTCTAATAATTTATCAACGGAGGGGATGGTGATAGGAATCGTCCTATGCTGCCTTGCCGCCGTGGCCATCACGGTTTTCGCATTTTATGAGAAGAGGGTGAAGAAATGTTGGCGGACATATTGCGGGAGGAGGAAAACAAAACCGAGCTACGCGGGTGGGCCGACGGCTGTGGTCATCGGAAGCAAAGCAACTCTGCGCTCAGACAGCAAGGAGCTCGTGGATCCTTTGAATGAGATGGCGATGAAGAGCCTTCCAAGCTACTGGACCGGAGGCCGCGAGAGCGGAGAAGAATCCAACGTCAGGGAGGACCTTTCCTTCGACGAGCTTCTGTATGTAAAACACGAGCACATGGACTTCTTTCAGGAGTTGGTCAACCACACCTACCGGCAGATCACGACGCAAGATCGTCTATGCCCGACGGGCAAGCACGACAAGACCAGGGGTGGATGCCCCTGTGTGCAGCCTGGCGGTACCCCCGGTCTGCCGACAGGCTACCAGATCAAGCGTGTTATCCGTGTGGAAGACTCTTCCATGTTCACTCGCTACATTGACAGACGCGAACAGATCAAAAACTCCCGGTCGTCCTGTGAAGCTCCGGACCCTCAAATTTTCACACGTGCAGCCATGGAAGCCTCCAGTGGGTTGACTGATATCTTGTGTGATGTCGATGACAGTATCAACGAAGTCTACCTCTGGCATGGAACACAAGTTCGAACTGGCCTGAAGATAGTTCAAGATGATTTCAGCCTGAATTTTGCTGGTTCGGGGGCGGGCACGATGTATGGAAAGGGCTTGTACTTTACGGAGAGCTGCACAAAGGCCGACGAGTATGCCTTGGATGAGCCGGGTGGCCACTACGACGGTGTGCGGGGCTTGCTCTTGTGCCGGGTGTGCTTAGGCAGCTTCCACTACACCTTGGATCGCGAGCCATCTGCCGTTGACAAGTACGCGAACGGCGAGTGTGACAGTACGATTGGAGACCGTGCAAAAGCCGTAAATACTTACAGAGAGATGGTCGTCTACGATCGCGACCAGGTGTATCCAGAATACTTGGTCCTCTACGAGCGTCTTCAGAGGGGTGAAACGCCCGAGCTGCCACCCAAGGATGTGCCTTTCTTGCTCGAGCTGCCGCTGTATTGGAAAAATGTTGGCCGCAATCCGTACACAGAGGGTTTCCGAGAACATTGGATAGTGAAGCCAATGATCCGCGAGCTCATTCAGCGCTTGGCCAATGGATCTTGTGGAAGGGACGGTGGAGCACCAAAGGTGGTCCGAGCGAGGCGCGTCGAGGACTCAAACCTTTGGTGCCGCTACATTGACTGGAAGAGATCTTTAGGTGCACAACTCCAGGCCAACGGTCTTCTCAGATGTACGCCTCCCAATGAGCTCGACGGAAACCCCGAATCCGGCCATGCCCTGACGGCCACAATCCTCTCGGAGTTCCATGGCGACGAGGCCATCTCTGTAGAGAACATGGCTCCAGGTTTGAATGAGATGCTTCTGTGGCACGGCACCTCGCAGAAGTCAGCAGAAGCTATTTCCGAGATAGGCTTCGAGGTCAAGACGAGTGGCACGCACGGTCGTCGCTTTGGCCATGGGGTTTACCTTGCAGAGGACTTGAACAAGAGCCTCAGCTATTGCTCTACAGCAAACAATGTGAAATATGTTCTTCTCTGCCGAGCAGTCTGCGGCCACATGTACTACACCGAGAAGCACTGGCACTCTGATGCGACGAGCGAAGCTACATCACGCGGGAAACACTGCGTGTTGGCGAATCCAGATCGTTCTGGCCCCAGAGAGTATATCGTCTTGCAAGAGTCACATGTGTACCCGGAGTACATCGTGGAGTTTGAAGACTGATCTCGGGTGTTTGCAAAAAGCAAGCATCTTCACCATGCTACCTCGTTAATGTCTCTGTCATCCATGATTGCCTGTAGCAGCTTGGAGTCCTGACCTCTTATTCGATCGCTGAAGTGGCGTCGTAGTGTTAGTACTGTGATGTCTTCCTGTTGGTGCTGTCGTCGAGCGACAGTGATCGTCCCCGTCTCACTCACCATGCATGGCACCACGAGTTCAAAAAGCCTTGCTGTCTAGTGCAGGGCCCCTGACGCCACTACGAAGTCAAGCGTCATCTCATGGCTTGAGCTCTCCATAGCTCCCGTTTCTTCCACTTTCTGCAAGGTTTCAAACTGTCGGTGAGTGAGCTGCCGAGCTGCCAGTCAGGAGATTCGTATTTCCTCTGCTCAGACGCTCCTAGGTCCTAGGCGCAAGCCCCACTTGGTCTGCCAAGCTGCGACCCCCCCAAAGCCCCCTAAACCCTCTTAGCTTACCCGTTGCCAGATTGTCGCATGTGCCGAGCTTGCGGCAGCCATCGAAGATGCTGCCAAGAAGCTGGGGCGACCGCAGGCGCCAGCCGGTAGAAGGACATCACTATCATCATCATCATCATTACCATTACTTTTGTCACAGTTACTTGTTCCTCGGCCTCTTTGCTTTTTGTTGTGAAAATTTAAAAGTATTGTTGTCACACTTGTAGTAGCTCTTGTCTGGGACTCCACGAAGGCTCACAGTTTGAAGAGGAGGACAAACAAACAACCTAATTGTTTTCCTTCTTTGTTGCATCTTTTCATATTCTTCTTCTTCTTATTGTTGTGATTCGTATTTCATGAGTGTTCGGCCAGGCCAGGGTGGTAAATTTGAAGCTGGAGAGGCTGCAAGCTCAGCTGTGCCGGCATGTCAGAAAGTGGCCAGGCGTTGAAATAGTCCTAGTCATAGTCCTAGCCATAACAATAGCAATAGCGATGGTAATGGTAATAGGAATAGTACTCGTAATCGCCATAAAAATAGTTAATAGTACTAGTAATGATGGTGACAACAGTAACAATAGGATCAGGAATTCGGTTCGATGGAAAGCGTGTGCTATGAGCAATGATATGCTCGGAATGGTGAGCTTTTCGTCCTGTGTGCCGACGATCCCGACCTCCCTACCACCTAACCCTACCAATGATCGGCAAGCCGCCGCAACACATCAACAAGCTGACACATCGAACCCAAAGCATGAGCCTCGGCTGCAGATTCCAACTGATCCCCGACAAGATCTGAGGATCCTCGCCCCCCCCCCCCCCCAAGCACGAACAATTCAACTTCCCAGGCATGTCAGCCACAGCCTCGTGCGTTGTGTTGAAACATGCTAAAACCCTTGCCTGTTTCGCGAGAAAGGTTGGACCCTAAACGTAAACCTGAAACGTTAAGCCGAGTGCGAGTGTGAGAGTGGAAAACCGTGGCTGCAGCCGAAAAGGCTTTGAATCAAACACGCCTAAGCTCCAAAAGCTGCCGATGTTGGCTCTACTGTGCACATACAGCTGTTCTGAGCTAACCCTGCAATGCGGGCTCGTCCTTGCTAGGTGGGAGGGAAAAAAAGCTGGCCTGCTCAGTGCGAGTCGAGCTTCTTGTTCAAGTATTTGTTGTGGCCTTTGCATTCGTGTTCAAACAGACCTGCCCGGCTCCGGTCCGGGTTGTATGTTAGTTGATGTGCTAGGTTGTGCTGTCGTATTTGGTGTTTTGGATTTTAAGATTGCCCCGGGTGGCACGGTCACCGACCTTGTAGCTAGCGATGAAAATGTAAAGGACGGCGATCGGCCTGGGAGGACTTGTTTTTGTATTGTTAAATGTGTGTGTGTGTGTCTGCATCTCTGCATATTGCTTATGATGGCGTGGGGAGTTGGTCGCTTGTGTCGGCAGTTGTACTTCGACTTGTCCTGAAGCCTTGCTTGTCTCATGTGAGACACAAAACTCAAAACACCAAATCCTAAATCACCATCCTCAACTTCACATTCCACGAAGCTTTTCTGTAAACAGAGACGTCAAATCCCGAGCCCTACATTGTCCTACATCCTAAACCCCAAACCCCAAATTCCTGACTGGTATGCTAGCATAACCCTGCTACACGACATGTTCAGCCATGGGGGAGGCAAAAAAAGAGTTAGATTTTAAACATGTCCCTCAGGTGGTGCTCCATTTACGGGTTGCACTTGCAGCCGCTACCTTTCTTGAGAGTGGAGGTGGCCGATTCCCGGGACGTCCGGGACCCCGAGCCGGTGTTTCTTAGGTTTTACCAACTCCGGGCGAAGTGAAAAGCCTGTTGCAAAAGGCTTTAGGGTAACATGGGATTTAGTAAATTTAGTGCAAGAAGATGTGTCTAGGGAGGGTTCTGTTTTGTAAAGCGAGGGTCTCTAAGGAGGATTAAAGAAAAACAGTTGATGTTAGGGTGTTACAGGGTTCCCAGATTCCTGGAGGCTCCGACGCATCTTGGTCAGAGTTTGCTCTTGATTAAGAATCGGGGTGCTTCGGGGTGCGGGGGTGGGGGGATGCTGGCAATCAACAAGTCCAGATTTAGCAAAGGTCAAGAGGTGCTTGATGGTGTAGGAGCTGTTTCAGATGCTTAGGGTTTCTGCCACGAGTGCAGCTGCGCATGTACAAGTCTGTGCATAAAAGCAGCCGCTCGTCGGGTTCAGCCCGATTTGAAAGGATTGCTTGATTGTCAGCTTACGGCTACAGGAGTTGTGTCTTTTGACACCTGCTTTGAAGATAGGTCCACCAAGCACCCCGGCAAACCCAAAACCCGTATGAAGTGAGCGGTGGGATGAGTGAATGAGAGCCCCCTACAGCCGTCTTTCAAACTGACGTGTGGCTGCATGTCTAATCTGTAGATTAGGAATTTGTAATTGGGAAATTAGATCGGCAATTTGCTGTCACGTCTCTTAGAGATTGCATGCAGATACCACGAGTTAACATGCTCAACCGTACAGCCTTTCTCTTGGTTCCTGTCACATCAGGCCCCGGACCCAAAGGTTCCATGGTCATCATAGTCGGGGCCCGTGACATGAACCGTAGCCGCGGTAAAGATCACTACACTCCCTGCGCACGCATTGGGTCTAACATAGGGATAGTTGGTGCAGGAGTTGATCTGTATCGCGATAGCACAGTTGAAAGGTTGCACCAAGCCATCCTCGCTTGTGGGCATAGATCCTTAGCTATGCGAGAGGGAAAAATAAGATCCCAAAACCCTGCACCCTGCCTCCCTTGCCGAGTTGCGACTTCCAAGGGGATTGCAAGTGCAGTTATGCTGGTGAGTGCTGGCTGGGACTACTTTTTCGGGAGACCCCCGTTCCTCTTTCTACACGAACATGGCCATAGCTGAGCAACCATGAGCAATGAGGGCGCTTACTCGTGTTTGAAGTACCTCGCGAGTGAGCTTGATCTGTTGCTCAAGGCACCAGATTAATTGGTGGATGATTTTGGGCATCGTTGATCGTGCTGAGTTATGTCTGCTGTGCATCTGCCACAGTCCTGAACTTACCCTGCAACGCGGGCTCGTCCTTGCTAAGTAGGAGGGAAAAATGCCTCTCTTCGAGAAGAAGAGTTCCAGGAAAAGCCACAAGTTTCAACCCGAGCCCCGAAGCTGGACCAGTCTTTGACCTCTGCTTGGAGGATCACGGCACTTAGCAGGTCGGGCCATACAGTAGCCTGGAGAAGAGGTACAGTTAGATATAACTGTATAGCTCCCTTACGTATAACCCTACTTACTAAGCCACTGCGACTTTGTCCGCTGGGAAAAACGTCGCATGACCGTAAACCCTAAACCATACAGGCCCAAGCAAGACCGGGAACCCTCGGACCTGCCTTTGACGAAGTCCAAAGTGTCCCATGAGGTGGAACCGCTGGCCTTCGCGCTCCAGCGCGGAGAGGAAGCGGTTTCCCTTTTCTCATGGAAAACTGTAGGCTTTTTATAGGGTTGATCGGGTAGAGAGTGTTGATAGGGTCGATAGGTGTTGATAGGGCTTTTGGTGTTATAGGCCCTCGAAGTTCTAGGCCAAGTCGCCACCTTGGGCTTCAGCCACGGCCCATCAACTCTGGACCTTTCTTGGCGGTGCAACTCCGGAACAGGTGAAAGGCGTGGGGTGCGCCCAGGTTGTCAACTCAGTTGTTCCGTGGGGCTTTGGGCGCCTGGCATGCGGGCGAACCCCAAACCCTAAACCCGAGAGGGAAAATCACCCGAGAGGGAAAAAATCCTAAACCCCAAACCCCAAACCCTAAATTCTACAGGGTGTGTTAGGCCCGGGACTTGCGCACGTCTTTCTGTCTTGGAGCGCAGTTTCCTTGCAGTGCGACTTGGTCAGCGAAGCGGGCGGACCAAAAAAAGAAAAAACAATCCCTAAACCGTGGCCCTGGGCGTTTGATGATCAAAGGCACGGTGAGGTCTGGCATTTCGTTTCTACAGACCCAGGCGCATGAAGCCCACTTGCCCTACTTGCTGCATTTTCTCGCCGAGCCTTCGTCTCAGTGGTGTAGCGTTTAGAGTTTAGGGTTGAGGGTTTGGGGTTTCGATAGAGCTCCGGGTTCAAAAACTAGTCTCGCTAGGATCTCGTACAGTCGGCTCCTCGGTTCCTGGCATATGCATAGCCCAGGTGTCAAAGGGATTTTCTCGGTTGTTCCTGAGATCTGCCACAGCTGCCCACATGTAAGTGCCTTCGCGGCCCTGGTGGTTTTCTTTCAGCTGCCTGGCATAGCTTGTTCCGGACGCGAGAGCAGAGTACCATAATCTATTGTATTATACTGTACTATAACATACTAGGGTTCTGCATTGTACTATACTATATTGAATCTGGTGGGTGGTTGCCATGTGCAGCCCGAAGGTGGAGGCTTTTGGCCAATGCCTGAAGATCTCAAGCCCCAAAGTGTCAGTTAAGAAGCTTTTGACATGAAATCAGCCTTCTATCTCGAACCTTGCAAGCCCAGCGAAAGCCTTAGCTCGAAAAGCCCAGCTTCGGGAAAGAAGGACTTGGGTTTTGTCTCCAGGC